TCCGGTCGAGCGTGTCACCTTGGGGAGCACCCGTTCTCTTTGTTAAGAAGAAGGACAGATCCATGCGCATGTGTATCGACTATCGGGATCTTAATCGGTTGACGATCAAGAACAAGTACCCATTTCCCAGGATCGAAGACTTATTTGATCAGCTGAGGGGAGCCTGTGTGTTCTCAAAGATTGATTTACGATCAGGCTACCACCAGCTGAAGATTAAGGAATCAGGTATTGCTAAGACCGCTTTCAGGACTCGTTACGGCCATTACGAGTTCGTCTTCATGCCATTCGGTCTCAGCAATGCGCCAGCAGTTTTCATGGACCTCATGAACCGTATTTTCCATCCCTAACTTGATCAGTTTGTTATTGTCTTTATTGACGATATTCTTATCTACTCGAAGAGCCAGAAGGAGCACGAGGAGCATCTGAGGGTGGTTCTCGAAACCCTCAGACGAGAAAAGTTGTATGCAAAATTCTCCAAATGCGAGTTCTGGCTCCAGCGAGTATCCTTTCTGAGTCATGTGATTACTCAGGTAGGTATCGAGGTGGATCCTTCCAAGGTCTCAGCTGTTCAGAGCTGGTCGACACCGAGGAGTCCGTCCGAGGTTCGCAGTTTTCTCGGTCTAGCTGGTTATTACCGCAGGTTCATCGAGGGCTTTTCCAAGATTGCCCTCCCTCTATTCCAGCTGACGAGGAAGTCTGTGAAGTTTGAGTGGACTGATCATTGTGAGGCGAGCTTTCAGGAGCTCAAGAAGAGATTAATTTCAACACCGGTGTTGACTATTCCCGATCCTTCTCGGAGTTTCACTATCTTCAGTTATGCTTCGAGACAGGGCTTGGGATGTGTCCTTATGCAGGACGGCCAGGTCGTCGCGTATGCTTCACGTCAGCTTAAACCTCATGAGCAGAACTATCCGACGCATGACTTGGAGTTAGCAGCAGTCGTTCATGCTCTCAAGATTTGGCGACAATATCTTTACGGCGGTCATTGTGAGATTTTCACAGATCATAAGAGCCTGCAGTACATTTTCACGCAGAAGGAACTTAATATGAGACAGCACCGTTGGCTCGAACTTGTCAAGGATTACAACTGCTCTATTCAGTATCATCCGGGAAAGGCGAACGTCATCGCGGATGCCCTAAGCCGAAAGGTGAGGGGTGACTTGACGTACGTCATTACGCAGTAGAGTCCGTTGATTCAGGAGTTTGCCCGGATGCAGCTTCAGGCGATCGATGCACTTCCCATAGCCGTTTCAGGGAGTACCAGTGCCAGTGTCAGTGCTATGCAGCTTCAGCTGACGCTGAGAGAGAGAATCCGGCGAGAGTAGGCTTTTGATGAGTTTATTCGTGTTATGGAGGCCAAGGTTCGCGCCGGAGGAGTCGAGGATTTCTAGTTAGGTGCCGATGGTGCCTTAGAGTTCAGAGACAGGATCGTGGTCCCGAAGGTCGAGGCGTTGCGGAAGGAGATTTTATCAGAGGCTCATACCGCACTCTATCTGGCCCATCCCGGGAGCACGAAGATGTATCATGACCTGAAAGGGTCATTCTGGTGGCGAGGCATGAAGAAAGACGTCGCCGAGTACGTCAGGAGATGTCTTACCTGTCAACAAGTCAAAGCC